CACTCGAAAACCTACAAAAACATATCTGAGAGATCTTTCCAGCGCTTTAAAATCCAATGTCCACATGCCTAGGCAAAATTGCCCACTGTGGATAGTTCAACATCACATTTTGTTCTCTCTTTCAGCCCCCTGTTACTATTGACCACTCGTCAAAAATTCTTTTTTTCCTTTTTATTTCGAACGGGTCGGACATAATGAAGGGATCATAAAAATTCCATCACAGCATGTTCTGCACAGATTAACAATACGAATCAAGTTTAAATGTTCCAATGAGGAAATTCAACTTTATCTTAATCATATAGTTTTTTCAAATTTTTACACACAAGTCAAGAAACTTCGTTTTTAATTTATAAACTCAATAGTTTTTTTTCGATAAAAGAAGAATAAACAATTGAGCCTAGATATAAGCAGAAAAAAAATCTGACATAACTTTTCTTTTTGTCGTGATAAGCAACTGTCTATAGTAAAATATTTACCTAAAACGGTTAAATAGGTAATAAAATCGGGTTGAATATCACTATTTTTTCGTTTAATTAAATTTTCAAATAATTTTAATCCTTTTTCACTTTGTTTATTAGAACGATGTTGTTTTAAAGCAAGATTCCACGATATTATTGGATTTGGATTTGTTGCACTCTGTTTTAATGAACGAATATTTGAAGTAAATAATTTTGTATGATATGTTGAAAATAATGTTGACGCATAACGACGAATTGTTGCCATTGATATGGGTTTAAATAATTTTCTTAACATTCTAGATCTAAAATACAACAACGACAATAAAATAAATGAAGATCAATTGTTTTTTCTCATTTGATAACGACAAGTATCATTCAAAATAAAAATCAATAGAAGAGCATTAATAGAAGAATTATTTACGTCTAAAGGTATTTGTTGAATGAATTCAAAAAATATTCAATTGAGTTGAAATATCAACTGTTCCATATAAAGCTCATTTTTCATATTCGAACAAATTAAAATTAAAATAGTTACTAACAATACAAAATAAAATTCACTTGAACTCAAACAATTGTCATTTGCTAAATAAATTTCGTATAAAAATAATGTATAACAATATCTGAATTTGTAAACAAAATTAAATTAAATGAAAAAAAATAACAATAAAACGGAAAAATCTTTCTGTTTTTTTGTTTTGTTTGACAGTCACTTGTAACAATCAGCATATAATGCAACAAAATGGTATGTTAAGCAAAAACCGTTATACGAGTAAAAAAAATACCTCGTTCTCACACTGACAAACATAGACTAACATGAATGATGATGTACTAAAACGCAAAAAGAAAGATCTAAATAATTTCCTTGACTAATCGAAAAGTTCTGTACTATCCTACGATATGTGTGAAGATGAAGTTAAAACAAGAGAAAAAAGAATCAACATATATCCAATAATTTAGTAAGAGAAACAATAAATCAAGAAAAAGTTGGTGTACAAAATGAGAATAAGAAGTACGAGTAAATAAAACTACATTCAAAACAAAATTATAAATATATCTTACGATCAAATTGAGTTGAATCATTTTTCATTTCACATCTTTTTCACCATAATATAGACAGATTATACACTATAAAATAATAATAATAATAGGGATCATTCTGTAATCCGAGAAGAATATTTTCGAATTTGTTATCGATGGTGTTCAACGTAGTAGTTCGAATGTTATTATATGAAAAGTAATAAATATTACTACTAAGTGTCTTTATCATTTTGAATAATGTGGCTTAGCGTCTTTAAACTTGGTTTCAGTTTAGTTAAGACTTTGTAAGTAATAAAGCCATAATACCTTAAAAGGTTTAGCAATAGAATTCGGATAATTGCTGATAGTTATCGAAAATTTCTATTGATGAAATGAGATAAAGTAAAAGAGATTGATTACCAAATATCTATGGGCACTAGTTCCAGGAAACTCGAGAATTTTCAGGATTCTATCAATTTCTGAGTTGTTCTATATGAGAAACGACGCTTAAGAGTTATATGCGGCCAATCTCCAGCCAAGAATCAATAGGATATCTGGAGGTTTTCGAAAAACTTTTGTAGCGTTGGATTTAGTAAACTTTGGGATATTCGAATTCGCTTGAAAGTAAAATGATAGTAGTTATTGTTTAAAGTCTTTCCTAGTCTGTTGAATCAAGGTAATCGGTTCCGAGCTGAAAGGGCTTCTTTGCTTGATATTTGTAAACGACAAATGTTAAGTAACGGATTAATATGATTGCCGACAAACTTGGGGAATCTATATTGTTTTATCCTTCTTCGCATTATGAATCTCTGTTATGGGCGTTAGATAGCGCTATATCGAGCGCAACTTAAATCAAGAAATTGAGCGAATCGCAGATAAGTGCTAATTTTTATTACGTTTCAACTAGTATTATCTTGAAAACACTTGTCTATTCTCTATATACTGCACCACTTGATATCATCTAGATACTAATCGTCAGAAACTTGTCGTACTAACTTCTACACAATATTTTCAATATTGTAATATAATAATCCAACTTTCGTGTTTAGCATTTGGATTAGTAGTGTACCATCAGTTATGATTATGAACGAAATTGGAAAAAACACGCGAAGGCTTTCAGATATAAAATCATTTTTTTCATAAGATACTGGGGGCCGTATTACAAAAAGTCTTAAGTCAGACTTAAGTTTTATCGTATTACAAAAAAAACTTAAGGCAAAGTCATGGGAAATGTAGTCTTAAAGTTAAGATCGAAAAATTAAGTCACACTTAAGTCATTGACGCATCTTTCGAATAGCTCAAACATTTAACGATACGATTCGACGAAATTTTTAGCGAAGCTTGAGAGAATAAATATTTCGTTAATTTGTAGTTTTGATCCTAAGTTTGTCACTGCTGTTAACGACTTTCGAAAAGTAAACAAATCACCAACTTAAGCCTTGTTGTAGTACGGTTTACGTCTTCGGACTTTAAGGCTTAAGTCGATGACTTAAGTTTTTTTATAATACAATCCCAGTCCCATTGTTGACTCGGATTACTAGTATGATATTGTCTATGACTGATTCTTCAGCGAATTTATAAAATCCAGTCTCTAAAAAAGTCAGAAAAACTCTTCGCGATTCTCCTGTTGTATACAAATCATTTATGCTCTCTGATTTTGGTGCTTATCGACTAAATATGAACAATGTAATAAGATAATGTGTATGATGTTTGATTGTAAGGTTTGTTCATTAAGATCAAAAAAAGGTACATCATAGTTAATCTGATATGTTCTATAACATGACGGTCAGCGAAAATATTCATGTTTAATAATAAAAACGAGCTATTTATCATAAAGTAGACTTTAGACAGAGAATGAAAAGGTATAACAAGTATGTATGATGCTTTTCTTATGAATTAATCATTTAATCGTTCAACACACAAAATATTCTATTCATCAAAAAAAAAAAAAAATGCCTATTCTCTTAACGTATGATACAAGAGTAAGAAACACAAAAAAAAGCTAATATTTGACTATTTTAGTAAAAGAAATTTTTGCTTGTGGAAAAATCATTTGAAGTTCTTTGAAAATAATGTTGTCACAATAATGTAAAATATTCAATTTTTCAATT